AAAGAAAGAAAGAAAGAAAGAAAGAAAGAAAGAAAGAAAGAAAGAAAGAAAGAAAGAAAGAAAGAAAGAAAGAAAGAAAGAAAGAAAGAAGGAAAGAAAGAAAGAAAGAAAGGAAAGAAAGAAAGAAAGAAAGGAAAGAAAGGAAAGAAAGAAAGAAAAAGAAAGAAAGCATAAACACATTAAACAAATTATACTACATATTGTTTTGCAATGTGCTTTTGTTCATTTAAAATTATGGAACAGTTTTGTGAACAGTGTTGTATAAAAGAGAATGGAGAGGTACTAGAGATAATAAAAGTTCTCTTAATTTTTCACAATGAAGTTGAAAACTTGAACTCCACTTCAATAAGGTTTGCCCTTAAACTGACTAAATTAACTAAGAATGTACAGCATTACTACTTTTTAGCATTTTTACCTTGAATAACATCCTTACCTATGTATATCTACAGTTATGAAGTACTACATTAACATGCCAGTTGCAGGAGATAAAAATATATGTAATTGGACAGAATAGGTCATGTGAATCAATAAATGCTAAATGAGTAATTACTGCAGTAGCAAAAATATTAGTAATGTTTTTAGTAATACACAAGCCTACAAGTACTACAGATTTATATAATGTTCACAAGGTCAAACATAATTATGCATATTTCATAATAAAAATGGGCTTTAAAAAGCATCAGCAGGTTCTACTACTATGGATAGTCATGCCTCTCACATCTACTTATGTACTACTACTATAAGTTCTTCATCTTGGGGATGTATTAGTCTCAGTAACTAAAGAAAAGTAAAATTGTGTAATCTGAAGTACGAAGGAAAAGTTAGAAGGTATTTATAAATTTTAGCTTATAAAGAAAGAATTTAAAATAAAACTCAGATATAAAGCATCCCATTTGTATCTCAAAGCTGGAAATTTTTATTACCACAAAGTTTTGCAATATACTTGCAATATCTAATTATAAAGTTATTGTAGATAATAAAGCCATGAAGACATTGACTTGTTTTCTCTCCAGCTTGACCATAAACTCTCTTAAGGTAGAAAAGGTCATTGCTATGACTTCAATAAACAGGCTTACGTAAATCAGAAGATGGCTGCTATGAGAGGGCACACAATACTATACCTTTTTTCCCCTCAAATAAAATGTGACTTTATGAAATGACAGGGTGTCTACATTAATGTCATCCCAATTAGACTGTCAGTTTGTTTAGGGTAGGAACCGTGTCTTATCCTCTATGTTACCATATTGCCTGGAATAATAGTAGGCCCTTGATAAACGTGTAAAGAATATTATACCTTTGCCCTCTTTTCCTTAGATTAAGCTGATTATCACCAAATTAATAACTAACATTGACTACTTTCAGTGGACTTGTTATGTTCTAATCACTTATTAACAGATATAATCCTTACAACTTTATGATGTGAGTACTATTAATATTTCCACTTTAAAGATGAGAAAACAGAGAGGTTTCTAGATATGGAGGTGGGATTTAAACCTCAGCAGTCTATTTCCAGAATTCATGCCTTCAATTAATGCTCTATCATCATCTGTTAATACTAAGCACCTGACATTGTTCCAGGCTATGGAAATACAACAGAAAACAAAATAGGAAAATCCCTAACCTCTCAGAACGCAAAGAAATAATTAAAACACAGCATATCAGATATTGATAAGCACTAGGGAGGAAAATTAAGAGGGAAGGGAGATAGAGGGTGTTGTTTTAAATACAGAGGTCAAGAATGCCTCATGGAGAAGGTACGGGTTGGGCAAGAAGACCTCAGGGAGGTGAAAAAGATGACATCTGAGAGAAAAGCATCTCAGGCAGAAAGAACAGCAAATACAAAGGATTTGCATGAATGACGCCCCACATGTCATAGCCAAGGGGCTAGGAAAACAAAAACCTCTCCAATTCCTGTCTTTTAGAGTGATACCTGAGACAATTTAACAGAGTTCAGTATTCTAACGTGTCTCTGAAGAAAGAAGGCACAGCCACTAGCCCATATTGTGTCTCTGTGTGAACTGGAAAAAAGGCAATTCTTCAGGTGAATGCTTCCCTATTCACACAGAAGAACACAGCTGGATTTCAGAGCCCACTCACTGCCTCAGCCATGTGTCCTTGCCCAAGGCACAACTGGCATGGTATTATGCAAGAGCCCTAACAGAGAGATTTCTGCTCCATAAAATAATTTTTCTTTTAATCAAAGAGGATGTACCTTGTTTCCAATTTTATAAAAAATGGAGTTGATGGAGAGGGAGAGAATCTAACACGGAAATGCTTTATAATGAGAAGCCAATTACCAGAAATTTATAATCTTATAAATGAAGCACCTATAAAATCTCTAACTTGACTTCCTATTACAAATTTCCATTACAGTTCAAGGAACATATTTCTAAAACATAATACCTAACTAACTGATTAAGAGGCTTATCTTGACAACATAAGAAACCATGAACACCATTTCTTAGTTTCCGAATTTTTTAAAATGAAAACAAAATTAGGTATCATTTTTATAACAGTAGAATGATAGGAAAAATGCTCCTTAAATTTAATTCTTGTAGAGAATTTATTATAGCCAAGTTAATTTGAACTCTCCTACATGAAATTAACTTTGTGAAACCAAATACTTCTTTGCAAAAAATTGTTACCTATATCTGATTTGTTTAAAACATTTATAAGCATGCTTCCTGCAATGCCTTGCCAATTAACTTTGAAAAAAAGTTTAACTTCAACATTAAAAACAAGCAATAGAGAAATGACTCAAAACACTATGGTAATCAAGAATAATCCCATTTGTATCTCAAAGCTGGAAATTTTTATTACCACAAAGTTTTCCAATATACTTGCAATATCTAATTATAAAGTTATTGTAGATAATAAAGCCATGAAGACATTGACTTGTTTTCTCTCCAGCTTGACCATAAACTTTTTTTTTTTTTTTTTTTTTAAAGATGACCAGTAAGGGGATCTTAACCCTTTACTTGGTGGTGTCAGCACCATGCTCAGAGAGTGAGCTAACCAGCTATTCCTATATAGGGATCTGAACCCATGGCCTTGGTGTTATCAGTATTGCACTCTCCTGGAGTGAGCCACAGGCCAGCCCCAACTTACAATATTGACCTCTTGGCACAAAAGCAAAAAAAATTCTCTGGGTAGAATTTACAAACAATCTTTATTTATAGTACCCAATCAGTTTTGGTATTAAATTTAAATTGAACACTCACTTGTTTATTGTCTTATTTGAAAACACGTCATAATAATATTTTTTCATTAATGAAGTACTTTATGCTATTTTAAAGGTGGCTGTGTTTTAAAACAAGAACTAAAACAAAAAAACACTGTTAGCTATATTATCTTAACATATCCACTTCACAAGGAACCAAAATCCGGTAGTTCAAAACATGCTACTGATTTCATTACTGGTTCAAATAAAGCTCTATCAAAACTTTTAATTTGTACCTCCTGGTTTACATTTCCTTAGCCTTGATGCTGGAAAATTAACAATAACTGAGAAAAAAATTAAAAGACACCTGATTTTAGTCATGTGAAAGTGAAGGTTATAAGACAAACACAATTCTGTTGCCTGATTCTAAGTCTGTTTACTTAAAGAATGATATGAGAACTGAAGAAGAGAAATTTAAATGGTTATAAAGCTTAGTAGTGGGCCGGCCTGTGGCTCACTTGGGAGAGTACGGTGCTCATAACACCAAGGCCCGGGGTTCGGATCCCATATAGGGATGGCCGGTTTGCTCAATGGGTGAGCGTGGTGCTGACAACACCAAGTCAAGGGTTAAGATCCCCTTACCGGTCATCTTTTAAAAAAAAAAAAAGCTTAGTAGTAACTATAAAAGGATTTATACCGTCTATCAAAGCTAACATACACATTCATAAATCACCCAAAAGGAGAAGCTGTCTCTTAAAATTCTTTGAAGTAGGAGAGCAATTTCAATAAACTACCAATACTTTAAGCTGTCTTGCTCACTGGCTTACTTTCACTTCAGTAAGATACAAATTATGCTAATTTGCAAACTTAAATTTGAACTTAGACTTGCAGTTAGCCCCTAACGTCACCATCAACTGCCTAAATTTTATATTTGTTTGTGCTTTAATATAAATACTAAAATTTACTAACTGGAATGTGAGTTCCATTTTTGTCTGCTTTGTTCACTCATGTACACAAAGCACCTAGTATACAGTACCTAAAACAGTGCCAAGCACAGATCAGTAATATTTTTAAACAGATGAACTTACTCCAAACCCACACCAAACCAAAGTATTGACCAAAAAAGTTCTGTTTTGCTCTCTCAGTATGAAAGTCCCATGTCTCCTGCTACCTGTTATACAATGCTGTAACATAGATGTTGGTACATAAAATTAGTCACTGTAAGTTAAGCAAGAAAGACAACTATAATTTAAACAAACTGCTACACCTGTTTGGCTGATAGTGGTTTCTGAAGTTCCTAGGCCTAATCTCTCCTATTACTCTTATGCATCTAAAGGTAGCTCAATGTAATAGTAAAGATGATTCTATGAAGTGACAGATGAATATATAAGCTTAAATACTGGAGCTCAACAATGATACCTAATGATCTTTATAAAAAACAAAACTGAAAATGTCACCTCATTACTTAAAGCTTTTCAGCAGCTTTCCCAGTGTCTCCTATCTGGTAGGAGTCAGGCACTGAAATTAGAATTCCTGGATCTGAATACTTCTATGCCATTTACTAGTTGTATGACCTTCAGAAAGATACTTAGTCTCCCCAATTTCAGTTTCCTATTTGTAAAAGAGGGGGAACAATACCTCATAGGGTTGTTTTAACGATTAATTGAGATAATGCATGCAAAGCATCATAGTAAGCAACTCAATGCTTACTAATGTTATAGACAGAGGAGGAAGTTCAAAGTCGTTATGCTAAATAAGTTCTTCTTAAACTTCTGCTTCATTTGCCTCACCCATGCTAAATGACCATATCTACCTGGTCTTCTTCTATACCCCTAGGCTTCAGTCATACTCATCAACCTGCTAGACAGATTCCCAGCAACTGCCAGGCAACTTTCTCTATTACTATGATTCTTTCTGCCAGGTCTCCCTACCCTCCACCAAACCTGTACTCTTGGAGGGAAAGTATCCTCCCAACTTTTGAGGCCCAGCTCAAGCATCACACTTTCTTTTTTTTTTTTTTTGAGACCAGCCGCACTGCACTCAGCCAGTGAGTGCACCGGCCATCCCTATATAGGATCCGAGCCCGCGGCGGGAGCACTGCTGCACTCCCAGTGCCGCACTCTCCCGTGTGCGCCACGGGCTCAGCCCAACACACTTTCTTCTTTAAGAGGCCTTTCCTGGGCCGGCTTGTGGCTCACTCAGGAGAGTGTGGTGCTGATAAACCAGGGCCATGGGTTCGGATCCTATATAGGGATGGCCGGTTCGCTCACTGGCTGAGCGTGGTGCTGACAACACCAAGCCAAGGGTTGAGATCCCATTACTGGTCCAAAAAAAAAAAAAAAAAGGCCTTTCCTGCCTTTCCTGCTCTACCCTTAAGCTTAATTTGCCACTCACTACCTTTTCTCCCCCAATGTACCCAGGCATAATTCCAGTCAACTTTCTTCAGTTAAACTGTTATGTTTCTGAGAGCAGGGCCTGGGTTTTTAATTTCTGCATATTCCAAAGCACCTACTACAGTGCCTGGCACAATGTAGGTGCTCAGTAATTACTTGTGATGAATGTTCAATACACTTGGTGTTTTTCAAACTTCTCCCTAGAAATAATGTAAAGAGAATAAAGAGCCAATTTCTTCAGAAGTCTATATATATGCCCTAAAGCAACCAGATTCAAATATAAATTTTCTTGGGGCCGGCCCGTGGCTCACTTGGGAGAGTGTGGTGCTGATAGGTTCGGATCCCATATAGGGATGGCCGGTTCACTCACTGGTTGAGCGTGGTGCTGACAACACCAAGTCAAGGGTTAAGATCCCCTTACCGGTTATCTTTAAAACAAACAAACAAACAAACAAAAACAAATATAAATTTTCTTAAGTTTTTGTGAGGTCTTATGTTTTTCTCCTTAAAACTCATGAGAATTTTGTATTCTAGGACAGAACCTACATTTGTTTTAACCTAGAATACCAACCATCATCCCCACCAAGTTAATTATTACTACAAGAATAAGCCTGAGACTAATGAGTATAGTGATGGAGGAAAATAAGGTGACAGTAACACTGAAGAGATGATGCATAATGTCATCAAAAAAAAAAGGAGAAGCACTGTGCTCTAATTATGAAAAACCATGGTGGGAATGTCTGCTCTCCAAAGGCAGAAACAGAATTTGGATGAAATGGAACAAGAACAAGAAGAAACTTTAAGTAAATCCAAGAATCCGCTAAGAAAATGTTCTCAAAATGTGTATATGAACTGAGCTTGAAAGAATAAGGTCAGAACTTACTGAGATAATAAAAAGATAAAGGAGTTTCAGCAATAACTAAATGTAAAGAGAAAACACATTAACCCATGCAGGTAACAGGAAAACAGATCCTTGCCTTATGTTAAGATAGAACATTGTCTGAAATGTACTCTCTAGTCACATAACTTTTTTGCAGAGTTTTCTAAAGCTTTTTCAGACTTTCTCTCCCTTATTTTTACAGATATCAGCACACTGCTTCTGAGGCTCAGCTTACTAGAGTTCCAAACAGCCAAAATGTCTCTGATAAACAGAAAGGCTTTAGTCTGAGAATTTCTGTTTTTAAAGGTCATGGAAATGTCTCTAGACTGCAAAGCAACAATGCTAGAAAAACTTATTTTAACATACTTCTAATATAAAAGTCAACTTATTGCTTTCTTAAAGTTCTTCTCTCTTAAACAACCTATAAAAGAAATATTCTGAAATATATTCTAATCCAGAGGATGGCAAACTTCTTCAGTAACGGGTCAGAAAGTAACCTTTTCAGGCTTTGCAGGCCAAGAGTCAAACCTAAGGATATAGGTCTCTGTCACAAATACTTAACTCTGCTGTTGTAGCAAATTTTCATGTGTTGAAGTATTATTGTTATTTTTTTTTCCCAACCATTTTACAAATGTAAAACCATCCTTAGCTCACAAGCCACACAAAAACAAGTGGCAGGCCAGGTATGGCCATAGGCCATAGTTTGCCAACCCCTATTTCCAGTCTAATATAGACGTGAAAAGATAACTCTACTGATGATACTACTAAAAAATTGAATCCTATTTTTAAGAAAAAACACATAAAAGAACATGAAAAAAGGGACATAAAACCGTATATCCATTACCGGCCAGCTGCAAAAAAAAACAAAACTGTATATACAGTGTAAGTCTAGTATTTGGAGGGAAAATATGTGTTAGTGTATGTATGTGTGCATGCAAACGTGTCTACTCATATATGTCATTAAAAAAAAAAAAGAAACCATATCAAAACGTTAATAAAGGGTGACTTTTACCTTCTCTTTTATAAATGTTTTTATTTCCCAAATCTTCTACAATGAATATACAATATTTTTATAATTAGAAAAAAATTAAAAAAAAAAAATCCTGCACTTTGACCTAAGTTTTTATGATGTAAAATCCTGATTTAAAAACACATACCTTTGAGGGTTCGCACCTGGTTCTGCTTGAGTACAGAGCTTAAGTAGTGAGGTGGTAAAGAACCACTGAAAAATAAAGAGAAAAGACAAATGTGCTCATAAAAATCTTTATTTCACTTTTTAGAGAACTTAGTGACAAATATAAGCTAACTTGTACCATAAAAAACACAAACTAATTTTACTTTGTTTTCTTTGCTAATACTACTCAGTTTAAGAAGAGCGCCAAACCGGCCTGTGGCTCACTCGGTAGAGTACAGTGCTGATAACACCAAGGTCACGGGTTCGGATCCTATATAGGGATGGCTGGTTTGCTCACTGGCTGAGCGTGGTGCTAACAACACCAGGCCAAGGGTTGAGATCCCCTTACCGGTCATCCTTTAAAAAAAATTTAAAAAAATAAAAAAAAAAGAAGAGTGCCAAAGCAGAAAGAAGAGCCAAGATCAAATCTTAACTATTTGATCATTCTTAGGCAAAATAATTAATCTCTTGGTTTCTTTGTCTGTAAAATAGGAATAATTAAAATTCCCCACATAGGGTTGTTGTGATAATTAAATCAGAATGATACAGTTAAAATGCCTAGAACAATAGCAGTTACTATTCAGTTCTGTACTGGATGTTCAAAAAGAAGAAAATGTTTAATTTTATATTAAGGTTTTAAAGTCAAAGATCATAACCTTCTTCATGCTGTCATTGTTTTATCTGTATTTTTTTAACCACAAAATCACCTTAGTTTAACATCTAAACTTATGATAAGGCTAAAAAATATACATATGAAATGCAACATATCAAAGGCACAGTAAAATGTACTTGTGATGGCTTACCAAGAAAAGTGCCAATTCTCCCATTTAATGCTTAAAAAAATAGCAAAGCTAAATAAAATACATAAGTGAATATCAACAGAACTTACCATTAGTTTCTAAATTATTATTTAACTAGAACACTTCATAAGCACCAACATCAAGTAATAAAAAAGATATCAACTCCCAAATGAGGATGCAAACTCTGCTAACTTCTTTTGTAGGTATCATTAACCACTCAGTAGTTCTTTTTACAATGATCCATCTAACCTACAAATATGGTAAACAAACTTAAAATCGCAATGGGTATATATATTACTGACACTTCAACTTTAGCCTTACTAGTTTTTTTACTGTATTTCAGCTACAATCACTCCTCTACAAATTATCTAGTAATACTTTAAGAATTCAAATTAACCACAATATAAAATGTTGATATCTGTTGCAGCTGGGAGTTCATTATAACTTTCTCCCTACTTTTTTGCATACGTTTGAAAATGTCCATTTATTATTTTATTTAAAAGCTTTTAAATTTTTCAAAAATCAAGATAGCCATTATAGACAACTCAAATGAATGAACATAACAGAATTTTTTAAGACTCTGAAGGTTTCTTTATGAAAAGAAAACAAAATCAGGTTTAATGAGGTAACACCGTTTTCAGACTTAACTTAGATAATGAGAAAGATAGAAGATCAACAGGAATCACTGGGTTTGAAAACAAAAGCCAAGGAAAAGGATAAGGAAATACATTACATTAATCAGAAAAAATAAAATGAACAAAAAATCCTCAAAGCATTATTTTACTTTCCTAACATTTTACAATTTTAGATTTGAACATAACTTTTAAATATTAAAAGTACTGTGAGAAAAACACACAATAGAAAAAGAAACCTAAATATGTATACAAAAATGTTACAACAAACCATGAATCTTATTTTAAAACTTTAAGTATACTTTTAATTTCCCATGTCTTTAGGTCAGCATTAGTATTGCAGACAAAATGATTTAACCTTTTTTGTAACTGAAATCATATTGTAAATTCCTTTAGAGTTTAAGTGTAATATATTCAGTACTGACTACATTTTCCAGAATTTATATTCTCAACTATCCAATTTCCTGTTTATTAGAAACCCAAATTAGACCACAAGTAAAAACACCTTATTCCAATACATCATACAATAAACATACATCATAAAATACATCATACAATACACCATACAATAAACATACATCATACAATAAACAAAAACAAAAAAATTTCTCCATCTCACACAACAAAATCTTATGAATCACTGCTGACCGTTATACAGAAGATCCTTACCTTTGTGGAGATGCAGGTGGGGTATACAACGTTAATGCTGAGGAAAAAGGCTGCTTCTTCAGTGCCTGCATAAGATTGGGTTTATATTCTGGATCAACACACCATAAGGAACCTTTTCCATTAACCTAGAATAAAATACACAAGAATTAATAACCTGGGACTTCAGTACATACACAATTAGCATCTGAATGTTTTTAATTAACATGTGGGGGGAACTTCTAGTACCTTATGAGTACAAAGGTTGAAATGAGCTTGCTATGCACGCACTGCAGTGATTAAAAGTCACCATGGGATGTACAAAACTACCTCTAACACACAAGATTGGTGAGGTCTAACTTATTAATTTCTGGTTTTATATTACGCCTTTTCTATTTCAAAAATCATTTCTTAAAATTTGAATTACACTGTACGACTACATTAACAATTATTTAGACAATAAAATTTACTTGTTTCCTGTTCTCTCTTTCCTTTTTGCTTGTATGAAATCCTATATAATATAAGCTATTATGATTGCTGAAAATTTAATGTGATGATCTCCAGAGTCCTTAAATTTCCCAAACTCTTTTTTTCAAGGTAATATTTGTCTATTGTTGAGGCTCTATTATCTCCAAATATCGTGTCATAATTTTTATAGCATAATAAAAGAATACTGCTCCACAGGTTTAAAAGTTGAGGTCTCAATCACTGCTTACTGATTGGCTATATGATACTGGACAAATCATTTCATCTCTGAGAGTCAGTCCTCTCACTCACATTTTACCCACAAAGTAAAACACCAGCAGCTGGCCAGTTGGCTAACTCAGCAGAGCACGTTGCTGATAACACCAAGGTCAAGGGTTTGTATCCCTGTACCAGCCAGCTGTACTCCACCTCCCCCGACCCAGCCAAAAAAAAAGAAAAAAAAAAACAAAACACCAATCCAGGCCACCTCATTGAGTTGCGATGATATTCAAATAAGGCAATTTATATGCAAGTGACACAGAGCTGCAATATAAGTCAATACTAAGGGGTTATTCTGAAATTGGCATATAGTAAGGGTTGATTGAATGTTGGTTCAATAGCAGTATATTTCTACTCATTTATTCCCAAGAGATGAGGGAGTTTAAAAAAAGATCAACAGTAAGAATAAAAATCAATTAATTCCGAATAAAAGACAAAAGTAAGGTAGTAAAGAACAAGGGATAAAATAGATTTAGAAGAGGAAAAAATCTCTTATCTGTGGAAAGATATAGCAATTGAGTGTAAGGCAGTTTTTAACATCCTAGCAATGTAAATATATAGGAAAAAGAAAAACCATGGGTGTCACATCACACTGTCAAATAGAAAAATGTTCCAGATTATCAGGTGAAGCTTTTTCTGGTGTTCAGCAGCAAGATATCACAAAAACTATACTAAACAAGTATTTGACATTTTTGGTTTTTTTGTCAAGAAAGTCAAGTTTTACAAATGTATTTTTAGATTAAGTGATGAAACAACTTTTTTTTTTTTTTTGGTGGCTGGCCAGTACAGGGATCCAAACCCTTGACCTCGGTGTTCAGTAACACCATGCTCCAACCTACTGAGCTAACCGGCCACCCTGAAAATTCTTAAATTAGATATATGTTCAGTCACCTAACCCAAATGATAAATGTTTTGATGACAGAAAAATAAAACTTTAAAATGTTAACACCCACAACATCCTTTGACCCAAAGCCAATTCAATTTCATACAGAAAAGATATGCATGAATTATTTTTCATACACTGACCAAGACAACTATTTTAATAATTCTAATCATGTTCTACCTTGGTATTCCTGAGATTACACTCCTAGAAACTGTTTAGTTAAAGTCTACTTTTCAAATTCTATTGTGAAAGGATTGCAAATTGTTTTGATCACGGTAGAACTGCTATTTCTTTGAAATAGCAAATTGGAAGAACTGGTATTGAAAACTTGCAGTTTCAGGGCAGTAAAGTATTTTGAGTATGGTCTCAAATAACAGTCTGGTTTATGTTACCATGGCAGCACTTCCTTTCACTGGGTCTGTTCATGAACTATCAGTAACAAGATAAAACTATGTTTTTGCTAATCTATGTTTTAGAGTGTACACCAAAAAGGAACTCATTTCTAACTAATTCTCTTAAAAACTCTGCCTCCATATTATTATGCTTAGATGATAGAACACAAATAATGAGTTTTAGAAGTACTGTTTTAAACTAAACTCACCTATAAAAAACATAGATCTTTTGTGTAATGGAAACAGGAAATGTGCATTTTCTCATTTACTATTTTGCCTTTCGAACACTAAGGCTTCTCAACTTACGTGGTAGAGAACCACTGAATGTCTCAAAGAAATGAAGAATATACTGAGAGCTGAACTTTAAAAAGATTTATCTTAACAGAAGATGTAAAGAACAGATTGGAAGAGGCAATGTTCACTATTCCTGAAATGTTTTTTATGTACTTGCCCTGTACATTTTAAAAGAGCTTCTCACATTGTCTACCTTTTCAATAGTTTAGAACCACTGAATTACAAAGAATTAACTGATTAAAACTGCACTCAACTAGGCAAAAATTTTAATTAAACGTTTTCCAGCTAAAATCCCAGTTACAATGTTTCAGCTGGGCATTATGAAAATTTAGAAAAGTAGATGTAAGACTTAAATGTTAACATCTAAAACATAAAACCAAAACGAAACCAAACCATCATGTCTAACTTTGATAATTTTGAAATCCTGAAGAGACAAATATCAAACCAAAATTTTTATACCTGTCTTTTGAGAGTAGTAACCACGGCATATCTGATAGGAAGAAAAAATCTAATCGGCACCTATATCAGCTAGCTGGGTGCTATTACCACTTTATATTTGATATGGACCTTACCATCTTGCCTTCTTTTGGGGATTATCACCTCTAAATAACAGCTACTGATCAGCAAAGTACTGTAAAGGTGCCAAATTCAATTCCAACGTTTAATGGAAGTAAGTATAACTTACCTGTTTTCCACAGATCAGAAGAAAAATACTGTCCTTTTGAGGCACTCACTCAAGAGGGGCTTCATAAATTAAAAAAAAAAAAAAAAAAAAAAACTCCACATATATTCCCAAACCTACTTGAATGTGTCTCCTTCTGTCTATATCTCAGACATTTAAGCAAAGTGGTCTGTTGATTTTTATGAAGACAATCACCTACAAGTGCCTTCCCTCCCAACCTAACTTGTGGTGATAGCTTGACAATTGTCCCAATATATTACAATTTCTATATTTAGACTTTTATTTTTTATTACAAGATGATTTCTTTTTCTTTATCAAACTCTACCTATACTCTTAACTGTATCCTTTCCCACTCTCTAGCTCTTACCTCTATAATTCCTTCCTTTCTCTGAACATTCAAAAATAATCAGGTTAGGGGCTGGCCCGTGGCTCACTTGGGAGAGTGTGATGCTGATAACATCAAGGACACGGGTTTGGATCCCTATATAGGGATGGCTGGTTAGCTCACTCGTGAGAGCGTGGTACTGACAACACCAAGTCAAGGATTAAGATCACCTTACCGGTCATCTTTTAAAAAAAATAATAAATAAAAAAAAATCAGATAAATTATATGAATAATACACACATTTAAAAATTACATACAAGACCAAGTCCCTTTTGAGCACTGACACAAACTGTACAATGCTGGACATATTGTTCTCCAACTTTTATTACAAACAATACTATATGAATATCCTTACACACATCTTCTTGTGTATGAATGCTAGGTCAAAGAACATGTACATTTCTAAGTCTAGTAATTTCTGCCAGGGCGTCTTCAAGAATGGACATACTAATTTACTAATTTAGGAGTCTAGCAATTACGTCAAACTATCAATACTTCTCTGTGTCCTCACCTAACTTGATATTATGAAACATTTAAGAATTTTGCATTTTAATGGATAAAACCCAGCATTTTTTGTTGTTGTTTAACTTGTATGTTCCTGATTCACTAGTAAGATGAACATCTTTCCACATGTTCATTGACCATTTGTATTTCCTCCTGTGTGAACTTCCTGTTCATACTCTTGCCCATTTTTCTACTGGGTTTTCTTTTTCTTACTGAATTACATGAGTTTGGTATACTGGTGATTGTAAACATCTCTTCTTAACCCCATATTTAATGACGAGATGTTGGTAGCTTGAAATTGGCCATGATGGAAATATTTATACCATGGAAATCTCCAAAAGCTCTATACCCCCCGCCCCCAGCCAGCTGTTAAACATTTATCAGCATACCACTGATTACATTTTCTGAATCCTAATCCTTTGGCTGCTATTTGTCTCAATGACTTCTTCTTAGCCAATCATTTTCAAGTGTTCTGTAACATCCGACACTGTTGGCCATTCACACTTAAACTTATCTTTCTTGACTTCCATTACACCATAATTTTCCAAGATTCCCCTTTCAGAATATATGCTAATGACTTCCAAACTTAGAGCTTTAATTTTACCACATCACCTCTATTCCTATCCCATATCTGTAAATAACTAGTATAGTAGACAGTTACTTTTTATGTACCACTGTAAATACAACAGTAAACACAATAATAGTTCTAAAAGTAGAAAATAACTGATATAAGTCAACAATAAAATCTAACGATGCATTTTGGAAAGGACATATCCAAACTTTCCAACACTAAAATAAAATTTACACTAACCTCCAACCTCCTCCCCTACTTCCAATACCCCCCGCAAAATCCTTCCACTTGAAAAATTACCAAGGCAATTTTTAAAAATATTCTATTGTATAGGTATACTTTTTCCGCAGATATTTTATGTACATAAATAATTTTTACCCAGTATCATTTTCTAAAACTGCTTCAGTAAAAGGAATAAAGAATGAGACTTTCCCCTGGCCCTCAGCAGCTGGCCAGTCAGTATGAGGATCCAAACCCTTGACTTTGGTGTTGTCAGCACCAGGCTCTCCTAAGTGAGCTAAAAGGCCAGCCCAAGAATAAGAATTTTAATCGTGGAAAATTAGATAAGTAGACCACACACTGTACAATAACTAGAATTTGGCTGGAAACATAGAGCTAATACTTTAAAGGAAAACAGATTATGTCGGTCCTTGAAATGCAGGACAGACTGTTATGTCTATTATTGTGAAAAACC